CCATAAAGCTTCTTTTGCAGCTTCAGCCGCTGCCATGTATTCAGCTTCAGTTGTAGATAGTGCCACAACAGATTGAACAATAGACTTCCAACAAATAGGCCCTCCACCAAGAGTAAACACATACCCTGTCGTAGATCTTCTATTATCAAAGTCACATGCATAGTCTGAATTCACATATCCTACAACCAAAAGATTATCCCGCTGACTACCAAAAACAATTCCATGTCCCACAATACCCTTTAAGTACCGAAAGATCCACTTGACTGCTTCCCAATGTTGCTTACCAGGTTTAGAAATGTACTTACAAACTTGACTAACAACATGAGCTAAATTAGGACGAGTACATACCATTGCATACATCAAGCAGCCAACAACATTAGAATATGGAACCTTTTCCATAACTTCAGCTTCCTTATCTGTCTTAGGGCACTGTTCTGATGAGAGTTTAAAGTGATTCGCCAATGGAGTGCTCATTGGTTTTGCGCTGCTCATCGCAAACCTTTCTAGCATTTTCTCAACATAACCCCGTTGAGATAACCACAGTTTCCTTGAGTCTCATTCCCTGCAAATTTCCATTCCAAGAATTTTCTTTGCAGCACCTAAATCTTTCATATCAAATTCCTGACTCAATAAAGTTTTCAAACCGATAACATCATCCATGTTCTTCGCAACAATTAACATATCATCAACATATAGTAACAAAAAAATAAAAGAACCATCATCAAGGCTCTTAACATAGACACAACAATCAGACTCACATCGGTTATAGCCAATCTTGATCTTATAGGAGTCAAACCGTTTATACCACTGTCTCGGAGACTGTTTCAACCCGTATAAAGATTTCTTCAATCTGCAAACTAAATGCTCGTTTCCAGGTTGAGTGAAACCTTCAGGCTGTCGCATGTAGATCTACTCCTCTAAATCACCGTGCAAAAAAATAGTTTTAACATCCATCTGCTCTAAATGCAAATCCCAACTAGCCACCAATGCAAGTACTGCTCGGATTGAAGTGTGTGGAAGCCCGCATTCAACCGCAAACATCTGGCTCTTTCATTCAACGACCTGTTCATCCGTTCCGCAACACCATTTTGTTGTGGTGTCTTACGCACTGTAAAATGTCTCTTAATCCTATGCTCCTTACAGAAGTGTAGAAACTGTGAATCTGTGTACTATGTACCATTGTCAGACCGCAAACACTTGATTTTTCGTCCTGTTTGGTTTTCTACCTCAGCTTTCCACCGCTTGAACTTCTCAAAAACGTCAGACTTCTATTTCAAAAAATACACCCAAACTTTCCGTGAAAAATCGTCAATAAAAGTAACATAATACCTAGATCCACCCAAAGACGATGTCGTGGAAGGCCCCTCATACATCAGAATACACATAATCAAGAATCCCTTGAGTTGTGTGCTTCGCAGTCTTGAAACGGACTTTAGTCTATTTACCAAGAACATAATACTTGCAAAAATCGAGCTTACAACTTTTGACACCATGCAACAAATTTCTTTCGTGTAATTCTGTCATACCACGTTCACTAAGATGAGCAAGACGCATATGTCACGGTTTTGTAGTATCATCACAGGACTCAACAGAATGAACTCCACCTACAATGGTACTCCCTAACAATCTGTAAATATTTCATGCAGTCATCTTTCCTTTTATCACAGTCCAAGCTCCTTTAACAATCCGAATGGTTTCCCTATCCTCATCAGCCTTAGGGAAAAACCATTCTTGTGCAAAGTGCCCAAAGAAATCAAATTCTTCTTCAAATATGGGATATGTCGAACACCACTCAACGTCCGAACAGAGCCATCATACATCTTAATTCTGACATCACCAATACCAACAATATTGCAACATCGATCATCACCCAAATAAACAGAACCAGAATTAACCGACCTGTAGGTCGAAAACCATTCCCTATTTGGCGTGATGTGATAAGAACATCCAGAATCAAGAATCCAAACATTCGTCAATTGAGTCGTTGAAATAGGGAGCATATCACCCTCACTGCAATCAGAATTGTCATCCTCGACCACATTCACAGACTTGGATGAATCATCATGCTTCTCATCAGTTTGCTTTTTCAACTTCGGACAGTCTCGCTTCATATGTCCCGCCTCATTGCACTTGTAACAGTGAATTGTCTTCTTATCTCTAGATTTGGATCTGGAATTCCGTTTACCAGACCCTGCCTTCTCTGGCTTCCGTCCACGGTCTCGATTACCCTTGACATATAAGCTATCGGCTTGAGAGCTTTCCCCTACATTATGCTTCCGCTGGTTGTGAGCCAACAAGGCTGCAGTAATCTCCTCAATGTGGCAATTGGTTCATATTCTTCTTCAGTTTCTTCCTTCACTTGTTCCACCATCAACTCTGCAATTGGTTCATGTTCTTCCGTTGAGCTCAAAGGATCGATCCTTTTCTGGTGAGTTTTTGTGGGCATGTGTTAAGGAAAATTTTACCTTGCAACTTGAAACCACCACATTATTTGAAATTCTTTACAGACCAACCGGAAGACCATGTCTATTTCCATTTGCAAATGCATGTGACGGTAGACATAACATTATTGATCATCGAAGATGCATCACGTGAAAATAGTCTTCATAGTGCAGATATGTCCACACAAAAAAATGCGTACAATGGACAAGCAAGAAAGGAAAAGGAAAACTAAGGCTCCTTCCGTCTAGTTGATACTTTTACTATTTACTTCTTTTGCTTTTTCATGCAGATTATTAACAGAAAGTAAGAAGGAAAATACCAAAAGCATCATCAGACTAACCAGAATAAGTACTACGTTTCAAAAGTGGACCATAGGTTTTACTGATCAGTTTTCAGTTTAATATATGAAACAAAAGGTCTACCATTCCAAATATATGTCAGTTGTTGGTCAAACAATGGTGGTTATATGATTTACCATGTCCTTGATTGGACATGCTGGTGTCGTAAGCTCCAAGTGGAAGGAAACCTGCAACGTGAAGTTGAAATGTGTTTCCCCCCCCCCCACTCTTTTTAGGGTATTTTATGGAAATCTTCCAACATAGAATTGACCTCTCCTGAAGCTTCATCAATGGCCATATCTTTCACAAAACCACAGGAGACAATATCCGTTCCAAAGTCTGGATCAAACACAATTAAAATACTATGAACATTAAGCAAGACGGCAATACCATCCATTCCAAACTTAAAGCAGAACATTTAGCATCATGCTCCACCTCAAGCAATCAATACACAATCTCATAGCATTATCTTTCTTATTCACAAATAGCCCCAAGACAAAATACTCAGACAAATGAACCATTCAATGCCATGCGATACAGTACAATAGACATTACAGCCATACCAAGAAAAAAACTCGACACCAAATTTAACTTCTCGATCGACAAGAATACTAAATAATTCCTCTAGAAAAATATTGAAAATATCTTTAACAGTTCAAATATCTCCGACTTTCAACTCCTTACTTATTGAATTTAATACATATACTAATAAGCCTCGCAACCTTTATTATCACCTTCTCAAACCTAAATCCAAATATTATTATCTAAATTTTAATAATTAAATTATTCATTTGGTTTTCAAAATCACTAAATATCCTCATTTAGTATATATTTAAAATAAACATTAATTCAAGTTCAAATGTATTATTTATAAAAATAAAATAACTATAAATAACAAATATTCGGATATTAATTTCCCATCACTTTAAAGTTATTTTAGAAAATAATTGAAATGTCTAAATCCACAAGTAATCCAAATCTGTAAAATTTGATCCGAGTTCTCAAAAAGCGAATTGACTGTGTAAATATCTGAATAATGACTATTTCTTACTATCCCTAAATAATTACAAATTTTGAAAATGCTTGGCATGCCTTTAATTAAGAAGCTTAAACCCTATGAAGCAGGGACCACCGTGGTTTGGCCACACACAAAAAATCTGTAATCGGATCCCTCAAGAAATAATAAAATAATTATATAATTCAGTTGTAAATTTATATTTTGCTCCTTCAAAAGTCCATTTCAAAATTTTGGACCCGTTTCATCTCTCATACGATTATTGCTAAGATTAGGCCTAATATATATACATATTTATGAACCTCTTTAACAAAAAAATAGTATTAATACTCTTACAAATTTTCTTATGGGTTTTTCCTAGGAACGTAAACGTTCGATGAACAAAATTTTTATGTCCATTCAGTAAATGAATAAACACGATAGAGATATGTTCGGTTTGTTTTTGTTCACAAATAAGCTCGTTTATTAGATTATTTGTTTGTTTCTCCTTTTCCTTTTGTTTTTTTTTATATTTTAAATATTAGTGAAGGTATGAATTAAATTGAACACATAGTGAACTTTGGAGTTCAAATTATAAAGCCTAAAGGAGCTTAAGGACTAGTGGTGTAATTTCATTATTTTCCTTTGGTTGTTGGTTTATTATTAAACGAACATGTTCATGAACGTTAACCGAATATGTTCGCAAACGTTAAAAGAATATGTTCTTTAACATTAAAAGAACCGATCACGAACACCTTTGAAAATAAACAAACGAATATGAACATCTTGAAAAAAAATAAATGAACATGAAAACAATTTTATTCATTCAAATCCGATTCATTTATACCTTTTACCCTATAAAATTTCCTGGCTTACAGCTGGTTAATCATCGAATCAACATTTTCAAATTTCTAAACTTGGTTGAGTTTTTATAGGGTAATACTGAATTATATATAAATCTTTTGAAGATAAAATGCAATTTTACCATTGTATTAATTTATACTTAATTTTTAAAGAAACAAATTTGCATCATTTAAGGGGTCAAGTCCCCGGAAGCCGCCCCTGGTCTTAAAGGTGAATCAGTCCAAGATAATGCCATGACCATCGAGATTCAGCATTCATGCATTGCTCAATAATGCAGCTAGTCGATCCTTCTATAAATTTCACTAAGTGCAGGGCTTTCTTCATCACTTATTTCCTCCACCGATTTTCTTTCTGTATTTTCCATGGAAAATCTCTACCTGTACTTTTGCTTCGTCTTCTTCATTTTCCTCACCATCAAGCTTTTAACTCGGAGAAAACGCAACTCACCCCCGAGTCCCTTGTCTCTGCCATTTATTGGCCACTTTCACCTTCTCAAAATCCCGCTCTACAAATCATTGGCTACCTTGTCATCAAAGTATGGCCCCATTTTATATCTCAAACTAGGTTCCATGCGTGTCCTTGTTGTATCTTCTCCTTCTGCTGTTGAGGAATGCTTTAGCACGAACGATATGATATTCGCAAACCGGCCTCCAACTATGGCCGGTGATATCTTAATGTACGATGGCCGTTCTTACGTCTGGGCGCCTCACGGACCTCTTTGGCGGAACCTCCGCCGTGTCACCGTCGTTGAAATGTTATCTTCGACCAGCGTTCAGAAGTTTTCTTCCATACGTGAAGATGAAGTCGGCCACTTGGTTCGTCACTTGTTTGAAGCCTCGGCCGGCGGAGGAAAGGTGGACTTGAAATACTTGTTCGGTCTTTTGACGACGAAAGTCATGCTGAGGGTGGTGGGGGAGGCGGCCGCGGCTAGTGACAAGGAGGAAGAAAAGATGGTATTCCATGAATTTAAGAGTTTGTTTTTTCCGAGCTCGGTGATGAACATGTGTGATTTCTTCCCGGTTCTGAAGTGGATTGGTTTCCAAGGGATCGAAAAGGGGTTGAAAGAAATGCATAGGAGGAGAGATGAATACCTGCAGAAATTAGTGAATGGAATTAGATTAAATACAACCCTTGCCATTCCAAATCCTTCATTCATCCAAAAGCTTTTGTCTTTTCAAGAACAAGACCCTCAGTTCTTTTCTGATCAAGTCATCAAGGGCACCGCACAGGTAACTAGTTATTTCTCATCTACAAAAACACGATTTCAATTTCGGTTCTCTGTCTCGTAGTAATAAGCTGCTACTCTTCTCTTTGTTCTGCACTTCAACCTTAATGTTTCTCATAGGTACGACGTTAAAATTAACCTCCACATTTGTCAAAACGATTATTTTAGCCTTTATATCTATAACACTTTTATTCTCCACGTTCAACTTTTAGTTAAAATGATTCATATTAATAGAATCGGTTAGTTGACTATTATATTATTGATGTGACATTTTTATATATACTTAGTTTATTGATATTATATCTGTCATGATATTCAAGATGATAATGTTTAATGTATCCTATTACCTAAAGCGATGATGCGACATGTACTACATCACTTAAAATGATGATATGACATAATTTGTAGAAAGCTTGCGTAAGTATTCCCTAAATTGTGAAGTTTATATCTTTTATGTCCGTTTTGGTAATGTTTTCTCATGGGTTATAACTGCATTAATTATACAAGTATGCAAAAGTAGACAATTTTACAACTGCATTATTTTATACTAATCTCAAGAGTCAAAAGGAGACCCACTTTATGCAAAACTCCACCTTCAACAATTATTAGATCACAAAAAGTCAATGGCTCATAATGCTTCGCTAGTTAAGCTGACAATATTGACCTTTGTGTTTGAAGTTTCAAAATTAACTTTCGTAACCAGTTTTCAGTGTATCTAATATCATCATGCACCAGATGATGTTTGTCGCAGGAACTGAAACGACATCAGCTACACTGGAATGGGCAATGTCACTCCTCTTGAATCATCCAAAGGCTTTGGAGAAAGTGAGAGCAGAGATCGATAGCCATGTCGGGTACAATCACCCGCTAAATGACTCTGATCTTGCCAACCTTCCTTATCTTCGTTGTGTTGTAAATGAGACACTCAGATTATATCCCCCAGGGCCGTTTCTAATGCCTCATTACTCATCTGAAGATTGTACGGTGGGTGGATATGAGGTACCTAAAGGCACACTGCTGATAGTCAATGTTTGGGCCATACACAATGATCCTAGCATATGGGACGAGCCAACCAAGTTCAAGCCTGAAAGGTTTGAAGGCATTTCGAAAGAAGGATCGAAATTTCTTCCATTCGGACTCGGGAGGAGAGCTTGTCCAGGAGCTACCATGGGCTTGCGGTTAGTTCTGTTGGCACTTGGTGCAGCTATACAATGCTTTCACTGGGAAAATGTAGGGTCAGACACTGTGGATATGACCCCTGGTACTGGACAAGCAGCTTTGTCCAAGGATATTCCATTGGAGGTTCTGTGCTCTCCACGGCCTGATTTGACTAAACTCCTCTCTCAATTTTAAAGTTCGAACTTAAACTAAAACTTGCAGAGACAAGCAGCAGGGAGTACTGCTCGATATTACGAACCATAGATGGTTAAAAAAACATAATGGAAGAACAATTAAGAGCTCGTGTAAGTTATAACTTATAAGCGACTCCTTGGAGAAACATGCGTATCCTTTTTATAACATCTAATAGACCAATACATCAACTTAATGTTTTACTAGTAGCAACCAAAACTTCACTGAAAATCAGAGTAGGGATTGAAAAAACAATAAAATAAAGTTCAAGGATTTGACAACTGAAATAGATAAACGAGGTTCATCATAACAAATACACCAAATAGGTGACTAGAGAAAAAGCTGAAGCCGTCTTCAGTCTTCCTCCTCACCCTCGTTCTCAGCAATATTGAAGTATCGTAGTTCGTAAACATTGCGATCCTTGTTGGAAGCAATTACTCGAAGCCAATCCCGGACATTGTGCTTCTTCAAGTACTTCTTAGTCAAGTACTTAAGATACCTAAATACCAATAAGAAGGTTGAAGAAACCGTCAGCTAAAAGGCTTGAATATTTTAGTATCAAGACAAAAGCAACAAAAAAGGAAAAAACTAGAATGAATTTTAAGGTCTCAGACATCCAAGGAAGGAATAGAACAGCATAAGCTCTCAAGCCTGGCAAAGGCGAAAGCTCTCAGGCGGCCACTGCGAATGTTTTGAGAAACAAGCCTTAAGAATTGTCATCATCGACCTTAAGATTTCAAGTTACAACTGTTCTACCATAACACGAAGCAGATAAACAAGATTCAGTTCAAGTTATATTTTAAACAGAAAACCCATTTCTCAAAATATTCAGTTCAATTGGGTTTAACATTCAAAACAATCCAACCTTGAACATGAAATTAAAAAGTTCCGTTATCCAAGCTTAATATTCAAAACGTTTTCAAGCTAAAACATTCACAGATGTTTCATAATGAATAATAGAACAAAAGATAAGATGAAAAGTACCGCTTGGAGAAGTTGGAGTCAGAGGTAACAGTGATTTTGCTCTTATCGCGGGTGACAGTGACGGAATCGCCAAGAGCACCTGCTTTGCCACCGACCTTGATCCTTTCCTGCAGGAACTTTTCCAGTGAGGATATGTCCATGATCTTATCTTCAACCGGCTTAGAACAGTCGATGGTGAAGGACGCTCCCTTCTTCTTCCCCTTGGGTCCCGCTGCTGCTCCACGACTCATCTTCACACCAAATCACTGCGTTTTCACTGAATCAATTCAAAAAGAAGAGAAGGAAGGTAAACAAAGCGGAATGCAGAGATAGACAGAGTACCTTAGCTGCCACTGTATTTTCGAGGATTCCGAATACCATGGATGGACGAGCAGTCTTAACAAATATATTGATTCCTAGGGTTTTCTGAGATACTCTTAGGAGTGGGTTTTGGGCTTTGACTGTGTGTGTTTTGGGAGAAAACAGAAAAACAATTGAAATGGATTATTGCCATTATTCAACCCATAGAAAGAACTCATCTGGAACTGGATTTAGTAGTCTTGTGACCCAACATCAAATCCAAACTCCAAGTCCAAAGCTATAGAAGAAAAAGGCATAATGGCAAAAAGAAAAACCTTCAATGTTTGTCACTTTTTCAACTATACCCTTAAAGTTCTGTTTGGGAATCTAAATCTTAAAAAAGAAAATTCAAATAAGTCCTTTTTGGATGGACAACCCATGATCAACTGACAATCAACATTTTTTTTCTGAAGGGTGCAATTGAAAACAAGCAAACATTGAGGGTTTTTGGCACCAACCACACTTTTCTACTTGGCATTTGGCAACATCGTTTATTATATATAGTCACGTCCTTTGTGGATTTGTGCAGATTCTAAACATAATCAAGCAGCTTGAATTTAAAAGGAAAATGAGATCAAATGTTAAAACTTTTTAAGATCCGGAATGCTCACTTTATTAAAGGGAGAAGCGACATGGAAACTACAAAGACAGCAAACAAATAAATGTAAAAAAAATCCATCGCAATTCCTGCTGTTTCCTCATAACTATAATATCAATTTTTCCAATGGAGAAAAGAGGGGGGAATTTCTTTCCCATTGATTATATTTTCCTATCGGTGTTTCTATGAGAGAGTGTATCTTCTATCTTAAACCGACGAGGTATTGTTGGTGGTGCTTCCCTCCTTGTGATCACCAAAGATGCGTTGCCGGAAGTCCGAAACCATTAGAGGGAGACCCTTTCGGAGCGATACCTTGGGTTCCCAACCGAGCAACTCTTTGGCTGTTTCGATATCAGGCTTCCTCTTGTGCGGGTCATCCTCTGTGTTTGGTCTGAACTCTATCTTTGCATTCGGGTCAATCGTTTCTTGTACCACCTGTAATGTAAATACGCATCGGCAATCCAAGTTTCCATAGAATGTAGTGAATAATTCAGTTCATAACCAAGATATAAAGTTTAGACGGGAAAAAAATATACTCACCTCAGCAAGCTCAAGCATGGTGAATTCACCTGGATTTCCAAGATTAAAAGGTCCGACGTGTTCTCCTTCCATCAAACGCATCAGACCTTCCACCTGTTTCGACCCAGATTCTTAGTTTTAACCAGATAATGCCGAACTTTATCGGTTCGGATCTAGCATATATCCCAGGGAGGAGGGGACAGTGTTGATATCAGACAAACATTGCACAGCATATACCCCACAAATCCATCTACAGAACACTATAATAATACATGGAGGAAAAGCCTGCCCCAAATAAGATAACGTAGTACAATCAAGCAGCAAGTTCCAACTACATATTTATTCTAAACTGCTGGCCAATCATATAAAATAATGCAGCAAAGAAAAAGAATCTCAAGATAGCACCGAGACACCGACATGTTATGCAAGCGAGATCTGTTCAATACGGACCGGAAGAACTGTAAGTTCCATTGACGATGGAAAGGCAACGATGCATGCCTCGTACAAAACTATAGGGCAATGAAATTCGCTGGTCCACACAGGTCATTCATTCGGTACTAGTCACATTGTGTATGTTTCCTCAAATAGTTTCTACACTCCCTAAATGAAAAATTCAGAACCCTAGGTAAATTGCAAAACTATTTGAAGATTTCCCCTTTTTGTCATGTAATGTCAAGATGTACTTTAGAAATCAAGTGCGGTGCCTAGTTTTCCACTTCTGAAGTAAGTTTCATCGAGAATTCCAACTAGAACACAACACTATAACATCATTTACCAGATCAGATACATATTGGAAACTCCTCGTTTGCTTCCCATCGCCATACACTGTCAATGGCTCCTTCCTTAAAGCCTGCAAACATTATCCAATTACTCGAATAAACAACACGATCAAACAATTTTATTTTAAGAAAATGACTAAAAAGAATAGAAAGAGTACCTGAGCAACGAAGTTGCTAACGACACGGCCATCATCAATGCACATACGAGGTCCGTAAGTATTGAAAATCCGGGCAATCCTAACCTCAACTCCGGCTCCTCTGTGATAGTCCATTGTCAACGTCTCGGCAGTACGCTTTCCCTCATCGTAACAGCTCCGGACACCTGTCATTGAACATTCAAATCAATTTATCTGGTTGGTTCCAGAAAGGAAGATTAACAATTAAGTTCAAAAGCTTTTCTAGAATTTAAGCAAAAACGAACGCCTACAACCAAATTGACACTAAACACCAAATTTCAATCACAAGCACAGCACCATCAGCATATCGTCAGTTTTTATTTCTCACAGATCCAGCAGCAAAAAAAGGAAAATGATGTCTTTTACCCCTTCTTTTAGTTTACACTGCTTTGCAAAGTGATAATAGATATGCAAAACGTGTCATTGTGTCGTAGGATAAAGAGAAATGCCACTGATCACGGGTTTCGCGTGAAATGCTCGACAATATCTAAAAACTTCTACAGCGCCGATGCCAGCAATACTCTTACAACTTCAAAACCACGACAGCACAGATTTTAAGGAAATCAAAATTTTCCGAAAACTAACCGATGGGGTTAACGTTGCCCCAGTAAGTTTCCTTCTGAGGATGTTGCAGAGGATCTCCGTAGACTTCACTGGTACTAGTTAAAAGGAACCTTGCACCAACTCTTTTTGCCAGACCTAACATATTCAGCGTTCCCACCACATTTGTCTTGTAAAAACGACATTTAAATTAAGGGGGACACAGATATAAACGATGAACAAACAATGTAAAAACATGTGGGAATTTATAGAGTAAATGATGAAAAAGGATATGATAGTTTTGACGGGATTGAATTTGTAATGAACTGGAGAAGCAGGGCAAGCGAGATGGTAGATCTGATCAACTTCCAAGAGTAGAGGTTCAACGACGTCGTGTCGGATAAGCTCGAAGTTCGGGTTCCCGAAATGGTGCATGACGTTCTCCTTCCTCCCGGTGAAGAAATTATCAACCACCATCACGCTGTCTCCTCTCGCTATCAAACGGTCCACGAGGTGTGACCCCACGAACCCGGCTCCACCCGTTACGACAATTCTCATACCCTTCCGTTTCAGCCCCAACGGAATCTTACCGGTCGGATTGCCCGACCCGAACCCTAGACGGTTCTGGTAGGAGAACTTTTTCTGGGTCTCGATGGGGAAGTAGGTGACGGAATCAGGGATCGGGGTGGTAGAGTGGGGAGCGAGCGGAGCACGTGAGGTTGGAGAGATGGTGAAGATCAGAGTCGCTATGGCAATGCCGACGAGCACGAAGAGAAGGCGCTGCTCACGGAGCATGTAACGGGCGGCGCGTGTGACGGAGGCCCATGGTTTGTCCGGCTTAGGTGAATATGAATCCGAAGCAGGCTGGGTCTCGTGGCCTCGGTATATCAGCTCCGACACCATCGCTCTTCGACTTCAAAACAAAAACTAAACTCAAACTATAGGATCAAAAAGGATATATTAAAGAGAATTCTTGAAAGTAAATCGCCGGGAGCCTAAGTCCCCGACGAGTTTGAAGCAGAGAGGTGATGGAATGGAACCAGAATGGGGGGAAGGGGATTTGATGTAAGAAGACAAGAGGAGGTTTTA